AGAGAGAGAGAGAAAAGGAGAGAAAAGGTGAGACTGCGTACTGAACATATTAAGTTATAGGAGTAGATATTAATGAAGAAGTTTGTGTGTGCATTCGCTGATGTGCAGAAGGCTCCATATGTTTTCATTGGCCCTCTGTCGAAACGGTGAAATATCAAAAGCAGGTAAATCTGTGTGTGCGTGCGCGTGCGCGCGCGTGTGTGTGTGTGTGTGTGTGTGTGTGTGTGTGTGTGTGTATGTGTGCATGTGTGTGAGTTTATGTGTTGGTGTTTGTGTAGATATGTGTGAGTGCGTATTTGTGTGTGGATATATGTGTATATGTGTTTCCCTCTCCCTTCTCTTTCTCTCTCACTTTCTCTCCCTTATTCTTCCCCCTCCCTCTCCCTCTCTGTCTCTCTGTCTTTCTGTCTGTCTGCCTCTGTCTCTGTCTCCCTCTCTTTATCTCTCTGTCTCTTTCTCTCTCTGCCATTCTCTTCCCCGTAAATCTCCCTCCTTTCTTCTTGATCTGTCTCGGATGGAAAGCTGGCCTCATCATGATCAAGTCCCTCGTACTGTAGTGTAAAGTGTAGATCTAGGCTTTTCGCTGTTGCTTGTAGAACACGTGGGTTCAGTTGCTGTATTGGAAAGTTATGAGTGAGTGTTTGGCTGGTACTTTCTTGTGGTCTGTTCCTTCTTTCCTTTCAAAAATATATGCCCCCCCCCCCGGGAAATGCCACTGACTGGTGTCTTTAGGCCATTCCAAAAGGAAGGAAATTAACATGTTCATATGCACAGTAGAATTGTTAAACGGGTTGACTTACCAATGTCATGCTCATACTGTGCCGAAACAAGATAGAGGGAACTGCTGCCTTTTCTTTCCTCGTCCTTACTATCGTCATTTCCCCCCTTCTTCTTGGGTATGTTTGCCACTCTCTTGTAAACTGCTATTTCCGGGGTGCCTTGATAGTCGAAGCAGACTTTGTGCTGTTAAGGCTAGAGAGGTGAGCAGAGAAAGCCTGATTCCCCATTTGGATTGGACTTGTCTATTGACATCCACCCCTCGGCGCTCATATGACCTTATGCAGTTGCGAGCGCCGTAAAAAAAAGCCTTACTAAAACTAAACCTAACTAAAAACATCTATCTCCCTTATCTCTTTTTCTTTTCATTGTATGTTACTTCCGAGTAACGTCACTAATCTTTGGCTTCTGTATGAGCTATTTCTGCCGCAAGTGCCGACCCGTGAGACCCAGGCTCAAGTTCAAGCTCCAGGAAGTTGCACGTCTTCTGAGACCTTGTGTCCCAGCCAGTCCTTGTTAACTCTGCATATTTTGCAACATCGAAGCAAACCGCTTTCTGAATTATAATATGGTACATAATATAGCTTTGATGAAGTCGCAACGCTTTATCATTACTGCCATTATTAAATAAATATGATTACTTTTTACGTAGATTTCCCCCTGGTGCATGCATCTGCTTTCATCATTTTCTCACCTTTCTATGTTTTTCTTGTTCTAGCTTTTGCCAGTATCTTTCGAAAAATTCGTTGTTGAAGTAAAGTTAACGTGAGCAGGTTCGCGTTCTCGTCCGAGTAGATTTCAAACATTTCTTGTTGAAAAAAACAACAACTTTGTCTCACTCCGATGCAAGACAAATGAGGGGGTGCATAACTTCCAAAAGGACAACAATTTAGTCTAGAACACCTCATACGTGTGCCTGTGTGTGCGTGCGTTTGTGTGTGTGTGTGTGTGTGTGTGTGTGTGTGTG